TATTTAGCACCCCTGCGACGCACTCTTCGCTAAATAGTTTCCGCAAAGAATTCGCATGCGCGATTAAAAAAAAAAATCGTAAATGACATATATGTATTATATATTCGACGTTATTAGATTTGATTATCATTTTTGTTGTAAATTAAAGAAGCAAAAGAAAACAAATTTCTGTTGTTACAGCATGACTGTTCCGTGCTGAAGAAATACCGTAAGAGATTAATTATTTTTTATATAATACGATTTTCTAAATATTTATAATTTTTTACGTAAACAAAAAGATAAACGAAACGCGCGTGCGAGCGTGTAAAGCTTTGCACAGCGTACCACTTAATCGTTCAATTATCTATCCATTCTCTTTTCACCAAGCGGCGGAGGGAAATCGACAGCCTCAATAGCGAGACGTGATAAAGCGCCGTCGCGAACGTCATTCGATATAACGCGGGGTCGTCGGGAGAAGTTGCATTGAGAAATTTCAATTCATAAGGTCGATGAAGCTGGCTTGTGATCCATTGATCTCAGAAATATCGTCGGGGTTACGCAACGTTGAATGAGCGGATAGTCGACCGGATGTCGATAACGTTTCAATTTGTCGACATCAAAACCGAGACTTGCCTCATGTACACACAGATTTATGCATTTAGCTCGTAGAATATAACAATATTACTGTGCAATTTCTGTATTGTTGCACAATTGCTATGTTAACTATAACGTGGCCACAAAAGTTTTTTCGAAATCTGTTCAGAACTTTTCAGACCATTTGTTGATTTCAACATCAATCGAAATAAATAAAACTTATAATGTGTACATTGTGCGTTAACGTTCTTCTAAAAGCTAAAAACCATAGAAAGTGATGTTTTGTGTACGAATAATCTCTGTGATCAATATGAAATTATTGCGAACATTTTGTCTGTCTGTGAAGATTTATGGATTTATTTTGATTTATTGACCATATTGGTCAAGTGACCAATTGGATCGATGGCATGGAAACGAGAGATGGCATGTTGACAATAATCGCGATTTTGCGATCTACTGGAAGCGAGAATGATGAAAAAACGTTCGAGAGGGGAAGAGCGATCGACAAGACTGATTCGAAGCCGTGCTTCGCAAGCCGTGTGCTCGCCCGGCTAATTAAGTACGCTATAAGTTAATTGAGATGCTGCGGCGTAGGAATAAAGCCGAAGATACGAGCGAAATGTTAAACTGTGTAAACATCGAGCTAATTACTTCGAGACTTTATCGCATTACTCCACCGCCGCTGCCGCACCGAGCTCGACGAACGAGCTAAGCGGATATATAAGTGCGCGCGCGAAAGCAGGAAAGTGGGAAACTCGTGGACGGAGAGGAGAGGAGAGGAGAGGAGAAAGAGAGAGAGAGGAGGGGAGCGGTTTCGTGTAAGGCGGTGAAGAGGAAAAATGGCGTTTATTTGCGAGAAGTCATTAGACGCGGTCGACAGTTAAACTTGATGTGATCAGTTTACAACATCATTCATTGAAAATAAAATCAATATTTAATGTTGCAAAAGTTCCAAGAAGATGGATAAATAACGTATTGTATCTAACGTTGAAAAAAAAAAGAAAAAAATCCAGATAAAATTACATGTAGATATTTAATGAGATTTAATATTTAATTTCGAATAGATATGTACGCGTGTGGAAATGCAAATATTTATTATAAAGTGTATAATATTTATTATTACTTTGAAGAATATAACGGAAAGTTAAATAACACGAACAAGAGACAGGACGGAAACGGAAGAGAAGGACATAGTTTCGAGGTGCTCGTGGCGTAGCAGTGGTAACTGCTACTCACGGAAGGTGAGGAGACCCAGTTAATTACTAAAGCGTTTTAATCGCCGGCAAAGTTCTGTCTGGGAAAGGGCTTCGAGGATGCGGCTGCTGTGTAAATTAGGAACTCGCCGGCTTCCTCTTTGCTCGTCCTTTTCGCGTCCGCATTATGTACGCTCGGTCTCTCGAGACGTGCGCCAACCTAATTTCCTGCAAAAGCTGACTTTTACGTAATAGCATGTCGCCTTCAAATCCCAAGAAAATCAGTCGTACTTACTAAGAATGTTTTTTTCTTCACATTAAAATGTAATAGATTTGATTAGTGTTTTTTTTTTTTTTTACACGAGGATCCAATTTGGTTATTTTTACATGCGTGAAGAAACTCTCAGTAACGATAGATTTATAACAATTATAACACAGTTGTATATGACAATCATAAAATTATTGTTTACTTGTAAATATAATTCAATAAATAAAATTTCTTTAATTTTTCCTATTTCTGTCGTTATAGTTTTTAGAAGAAGTTTTTTTTACTTAACGTGATATATTAAATGCCTCTTTTTCTCACTTTTCGTTCAATCTCTCCTCTCTTCCCTCTGGTTCCTGGCGCATATTTAGGGGTCGCCGGTTACAGGTTGCCTCGGTAACCACATCGAGAAACCCTCTGTCGTTGCCAAGGTAACCTTCTCCTTCGCCTTTCCGCTCTCCACTCTCTCTTTCTCTCTCTCTCTCTCGGAAATTCAATTCGAGAGAGCGAGAACGAATCTGCAGGGTGAAGAGTACTGGGGTTTTGGTAGAGCAAAAGGAGGAGGAGATCCGAAGCGGAGGAGGGAAAAAAGATGGTGCGCTTTCGGATGATTATATTTGATGGCGCGAGCGAGGACGTGCCAAATGAGGATTTGACCTTGATTAAAGGCGAGCTTTCCCTCTGTTTGTCTTTATCAATGATAAACACGAATCGCGCATGCCGGTGGAACAATTCGTAACGGAGAAAAAGAGAAATTTGCCGAAAGTGTTTCGCAGTTTAACGATAATTACTAAAAGAGTACAAAAATAAGCTTCTGGTATGTTATATTAAAAAATATAATATAAAATATTAAATACAAAATTATTGCTTACATAAGTAAAACACAAATATATTTCTTTCATCAAAGTACGTAATCATAAAATCAGTTATATAAGAAATTTGCATGAATGTTCACATTTTTGATTCTGCTTTCTTAGTCGTTAAAGATTCAAGATTGTACGATAACTTATTGGCTCGCGTCGATTCAGGAAGTATCGCAGGGCTTAATGGAGCAGATCCTCGTGCGGTTTGGTATTCGCAGCTGAACTGGGCGAAGAACTTATTCATAAGATTACTCGCCATTTTTGTCATGGCGCTCTTTTCTCCCTTCCTCCGGTATCGTTATTTAAGTTTTATATTAAAGCACGGTCGGCGCGCGCGGGAGCCTCCGGGTATTTGATGTATGACCCGCGCGTGTTCTGGTTCCTTCACCAAGATGCGCCTAAACGTGAGATATCGTACTCGATCAATTTTTCATGGTTCCACTTCACTCCTTTCAACCTCCCTCTTTCTCGTCGCTGAGATAACCGAGCTCGCGATTTCTCATTGTTAGTCCCAAGAAGTAATAAATAATTCAATTATTCGCACAATAAAAAGATCATTTCTTAAGACGTTAATTATGCTTCCAATTTTGCGTTTTGTATATGATCTTTCATAAATTTAGTTTAGATCGAAAACCATTCGACAGTACGTTATAAATTAATGTTGTTAGTCAATGGAAAAAAATTAATTGCCTAAATTTTTTCTTAATCTCAAGACATAACGAGCTAGAATTACAATTATTATATTGTCAAGTGCTAGCTCGACAATAAAAATAAGAGATGATAGATAAGTGATCTGCTGTCTCAGTTCTTGTCGACGAGCGGACGAATCGCGTGCTAAATAACTTCGCTAACAAGCTGCCGCCGCCACTGTACAAAAAAAAGATTACGTAAGCGGTAATGGCCGCCGGCTCCTTCTAAATTCGAGAACGTAATGTTTCTGACCGAGCGCGTAATCTAAGAAAAAGGGCAGAGCGAGCGAGTATATAAGTGTGCGAGACTCGATGTGTGTGGTGGGGGTTAATTTTAATTTCCCAATTTTTCCCCACACCGACGCAGCGCAGGTGGTGGTGTAATTTCCTCTCCAGCAGAGAATAGATGTAATTACTTAACGCCTTCGAGCTCCTTTTATTAAAAGAGGATCGCGCCCTCGGGGCTGGAGGGGCGGAAGAAACTCGGGGTGGGAGTCACCGCAGGAGTGGTGGTCGCGATTATGGGGCTGTCTCTTCCTTTGCAAACTCCCTTCGCTCGGGAACTAAAAAGGATTTTCTATCTTATTAATTTTATCAGTGACTATCTTTTTATCTAACTATATATTTCTATATCTTTCAACGACGATTATAGAAATTAAAAAAAAAAAACAACAGAAAAGTTTAGAATTTTTCAATTAAAAAATTTGTTAAAAGACATTTAGATGATATCTAGAAACTAAGAAGAAAATCTGCAGCTGTAATTTAAATTAATTTTTCACGTCTAATTGCTGCGCGCTTTAGCGCTGTATACAATATATATATATATTATTTCAACGCCTCATATAACAATACATAAAAAATCTAACTTTTAAGTCAGATGAGTGAAGTTCAGATTATCGCGTCTGTGTAAGGGCGTAACTTTAGATTTTCTCTTTGAAAACTTTTAGAGAGAAGAAGTGAGGACAGCAAACGGAGCAACAATTTGGGCAATAAATAACCGAACAACTCACTGATATGTACTTCGCCTGTCCATTACAACGAATTCAACTCGGATCGAATTCGAGTGCCTTGACCGATGAGATCGGCAAGGATGTCTCGTAGCGGCTGTGGGAAGGGAGGAGCCATCTTGCGGCCTGTTTCAGGGCAGCCACCAATTGATTCGCCCCCACCACAAGTGCTGCAACCCAGCGTCGATTTAATTCCAGGACGAAAAAAGCGTCTGATGGGCGTAACCCTTCGCGTAATTCCTGCGGTCGCATTGGCTCAATATTCCGTGTCACCCACAAGCCCGCCGTACGTTCGACCAATCGGAAGTCTGTGGGCGGGTCTTGAAACCAGTTTCAGTTTCGCGGACAGAGGGGAGTCGTTGACTCGAGTCTCCGGGCAGATAGTATTGTGCCGTTGGCTCATGCCGTAGTGGCTTTATACTGGCAGGTCCTTGCTACTAAAGGAAATCTCGGAGACCCACTTGTCACGCGCACGAATCCGCAGGTCGCGAGGACCCGGAAGTTTTTCGGTGACGTGACGCGGCCGAAAGAGTGTCGCGTGCGTTCAGTGCGGTTCAGTGATTCGCAATTATGCTCCTAATTCTGGACTATATCGAGACAAATCGCTCTTGTAGATTGTGAGACTTGTAGTGACTGCCAAATAGAAAAGACTGTATAAAGAAATTACTTTTAAAAAGATGTTATTGTTGAAAATAATAAGTTAAGTTTTTGTTTATAATCGAGAAGCTTAATAAATGAAGAACTGTGTTACACATTTGCAAACGTGTAAAAATTGACACTTGAGATCGTTGATTATAGATGTGTGATCGACATATTGTATGTCTGATTTGTAATATTGATAAAATTTGCTTGAAAAGATCGTTCACAGGCCGTAAAGAATATCGTGAAACCAGCCGACGGCTGACAGAATTCTACTAGTCGCTTACTTGACGAGCAAGCAAGATGCGGTAATCAGTTGTAAAATATGCGAAATATTGTTACTGCTTTCGGCTCACACGAAAGATCAGTCTGTAGATCTTAAAAACACGTTAGATCTTTGAGAAGATCAGTTTGATTACAATGAACGTGGGGGTATAATAACCTCTGACAAAAATCTTAGAATGGAAAATGTGAAGATTTGGTTGAAACATCGAGATCAACATTATCATCTTAATAGCCTTCACAAACGTGTGATTTATGGACACTGATGGACTGTATTAGTTAATTTTGTTGAAGTGAACAATGTTTCAAACGAAGCGTCTAAAATGGAGGATGTAAGCGCGCGTTGATCAGAGACGCCTACCAACGTCAAATATCCATCTGCACTTCAACAAATACACATGACTCCGGTGCACCAGTGATCAAGTGATCTCGTTTTTTTTTCGCGGTGATCCAAGTGAGGAACGAACGCCGGCGAATTGGTACCAAAAATGGTCCTGGAGCCTGGAGGTGGTCTGTCCTTTCCGTTGCCTCCTGGCAGCGGCTCCAGCGCCTCCGGAGGATCCCTGCTGGCTCCGACCAGGTTGTTTCAAAGAACGACACCTGTGTTTCCGTTCCATTTGACAGGATGGCCGCCTCATCATCCGGTTCTGGGACAAGTGCAGAGTCAGGTCCAGCAGAGTATGCAGGCTCAGCATCAGGCCGCTGCCGCGGCGGTCAGATTCCTCAGTCATCATCATCCGCACCATCCGCATCCATCGTTGAGCAATCATTCTCTGGTACCGGCGATCACCGGACATCATCCAACTGTGCATCACGTGCATCATAATGCCGATCACGGGGAAGAGGATGACGAAAAGAAGGGTGAGTTTCAATGCTCCGTTATTGCAGAAAATCGCGTGACAAAAAATTACCGAAATTTACCATAAAATGTATCGGTTTTTGTAAGGCGTACAATTGTATATTTAAAAAATATATATTTATGTACATATATTTGTATAATGAAATTTTTTTGACACAATAAACATGCTATAAGAGTCCTTTAAATAAGTTTTGACTTTTTTGTGTTTTTGTCGAATTTACTTGAACTCACGAAGCAGCCGAAATTCAATACAATATATCCTTTGTTGTTTTTCCGCTCTCGTGATTGTTTTATATTATTCGTTAAAAGTTAGTGAGATTAAAAGTGACATTAATGACACACAAATTATGATTCTATTGCAAAGAGTTATAACAGTTTAAAACACCGCATTGTTTTGTGCACCGAAGTGCGTGTGTGTGTGTGTCAATATAACAGCGGCGTTTCCAAAATAGCTTTTGAAAAACGGCCTTCAGGGAGTGGCGTAACGCGGTCAATCATAAGATCATTCCTGACGAGCCCCTGGGATCGCTTACGACGTTAGCTTCTACATCCCCTTTTCCCGCCCTTTCTAGCGACCGCCCGTCTGAAATCGTGTTTCGTGCGCGAGAACGTCCGCGTTGCCGAGGGTGGAAATCTGTTTTTTACGTGATCCCATTCACGTCCCTAACACTTGTTTATGCTTGGAAGGGAGCGCCACTTAATTCGCCTGCCTTTGCCTTTCGATTGTTTCCGCCGCTGCGAATTTATCGCGTGATACCGCAAATTTGCGGAATTGTTAGTCTTTTGGCCGGACAATAAAAAAGTTCGACCGATATTATATTTTATGTCAAATAATTTTTCAACAAGATTTAAAATGATTTTATAAGGTTTTCCAGTCGATTGGAAAAAAACGATGATTGGTTTTATGCTATTTAAAGAGAGAGATTTGTGAAGACTTTAAGAAGATACATTGAAAAAAAAATGTAAGATATCAATAACTATTAATTAATATTAATTAATCTTCAAGTTGCACCGTACTCTTTATCATCTTCAGTAAAACTTCTCATGTTGTTTTCTTTTACTGCATTAGATAACATTTGATAGTTTCGCTGCGGTTTCGTAAAAATGGATGTTAAATTTATTATAATGATTTCCACATCGAAAAGGAGCGTGTCGTTTCACGAACGACGACCTAGCACGCGAGCGCGTATCAAATCGAATCACTGCTTATTTCGGAATTTATGAAAGCTTCTTGCCGTGATAAATAGCTTCATTTATCGACAAAATCAGTAACGCGCGTAATTGTGAATCCACTTTGATCAAACGTCGTTTTTACTGTCACATGTCAGAGCATGTGCTCCAATGTTCTCAATTCTATGTTTAATGTCTTCCTTCGATAGATCAAGTTAAACTAGGTTTTGATCTAGTAGATCTCTCGCGTATCTTTTCCGTCGTGAAAGAAATATTTTCAAACACATTCATTCCCACAACTTACAAATATTGTGGAAATTTCTCTTTTTAGCAAAAGATCTCGCGATTTTGAAGGAATTAAATTTGCTCTCTGATGAAAATCAAATCGACTTTTAAATCGACATACATATAGGATGTGAGCAAGACAACATCGTTCACCATGCTCTACTTCGGGAGTATATTTTTTGCAATTAAAAGTGCAAATTGCATTTCGCGAATCATCATTTAATTACGCTTATATTCTTATCATTAAACATTCTCGACGTGTCGCGACGATTTTTATTCGAATTGATTGTCGGCCAACGATACGCCATTTGTGAGAAGCTGCGACGATCTCTCCCTCTATTTTTCTCTTTGTTTTCTTCCGCTTTGCGAACTCTCGTTTACATAATTAGCTCGGTACGCTCGCGGACTCGCGTGTATACGCCTTTACACGATCGTTAAACTTTTTCAACGTTAGCGCGATCGTTAAGCCAACGCTTAGCGTTACCACAAAATTGCGTCTCGTCGACGCTCCCGGCGGCTTCTCGCTCGCAAACTCACCACGTCGCGCCGATTTTGTTGTCATGAATTAAGATTTGAATGAGAAACGTTGTAACGTTGAATTGAGATGTGTGTCAATCCTTTATGATGATCCGATAGACATTGTCAGTGACATCGATGTAATCGGTGTCCATTTTTGTGCGCATTTTGTATTGACGTTTCAAGAGTGCAAAACTTACAAATCAATTATTTTTATCTAATAATTAAATAATGAACGCGCATCTGTATGTGACTTGTGTTGATAATAGTTTTTTAAATCATATTATTTAAACTAGCTTTGTGCAATTGTTTTTGTTTTTGTTTTTTTTTTTTTTTCGAAAAGAGAGTTAGAAAGACGCACAATATAGAAGCGTATTTCCTTTCCGTCTCAATCTGAGAATGTGTAAGCTATCCCCTTGATTATAGCGAACAAAATAACAGCGTTCGTCTTCAAAAGAAGCGCATTGCACTCGAAAAAGAGATGCAGGTGAGACTAAACGAGTCGGGTTTCTTTGGTAAGCCGTTGCCTTATCGCGGCATCCTGTCATTATTTTACGATTAGACCGAAGGAAGAGGCATTAGAGGGTAGTTGACAAAAAAAAAAGAAAAGAGAAAAGGATACAAGAAGAGAATTAAAGAGAAAGAAGAAAGGAAAATGAAATTCCATGTTTCACAAGAATTGAGAAAATACAGATAGTTTATATGAGTACGAAACAATTCACGCTCTTTTACGTCTTAATTCAGAATTGTTTCTGGCAATTTGTTTCATGTTGTACCAATCGAAGTTACAGGTAAACACTTGATTGAAACCTAAGTTTCAATTATCAAAGTTTACAGAAATAATGTCTCAGTGACAAAAACATTCAACTAGATTGACAAACAAAATAAATGGCTCTTTAAGATTGAAAAACCACAAAATAAGGCCGTAAAAAAAATGTAATGCGGATGCGGAGTTTGTAATATTATCAGAATGCAAATTACAAAAATTTTTATAATCAAAATAACACCTCGGTTTATTACGGTTTTCTCATACAGAAAGATATCTCTTTTTTCTCCGAAACATATGTGACGCAACAAGCTGCGAGATACAAGAGCGAGAGTAATATAAATCTTGCCACATTACGCTATCATATGCTGTTGATGAAAACGTTCTTGTTTATTACGACGGAACAAGTTCTTAATTGAAATGAATATAAAGTACGAGTGTGTGTTTTGAAAAATTGTGAGATACGTATTAAAGTTATAATTATTGTCAAAACGATTGCCGTTTATTCGAACGCAGCAGTGGCACCAATTATGAAAATTTTTGTCCATAAAAATAACACATATTGTCGATTTCCAACCATGAGATTATATTTAAATCATAAATGTTAAAAAGAAACAAACGTTTTTTGCGTAATGACGACGTGTAATTTTATGCAAAATATAAGTATACGATAAAAATTATTTAAAAAATTATTATAAAAATTATTTTGTACATGTTGTCGAAGACGACAGTAAACAGTATGAATAAACAACAGATACACAAATTACGACAGTATGAATAAACAACAGATATACAAATTGCGACATTAAAACATTGGTAGGTATAATAACGATTATTTTTACAGTAACGATGCAAATTTCGAACATATAATTACATACTGCAAGAATATGGCTGCCGAGTAAAAACACCGGATGATACCGTGTTTGTACAACCATTATCGAGTTATAAATCCACCATTGCGTATATTTGTCACTGTCATTATTCAGTCACTGTCAGTTTTGCGCAAACGTTAATGTATCGTTGCGAAGAGATATTTTTAATCGTAAATAATAAATTGAATCGGTCGCGCACAAAGTCGCATCGCGTTGTCGCGTCGCATGTTTGTTAAATGCGATAATTCACACGTCTTTTACAGAAATTATCACGTTTTTCAAATAAGTGCAAACCTGCGCGCTTAATACTTAATCTTGAGATTTTACCGCGGACGAAAAATACGTGTCATTAATGGATGACCGCTAATCGCGTAATAATAGTCAGCTACGCGTGTAATGAAGTCGAAAATCATCGGTCTCGCGTAGAATCGCGATTCCTTATTGAGCTATAACGATAATATGTACTCTTTGAGTCTCTGGGAAAATTATAACTTCTTTTTTCTATTCGAACGCGCCCATTTTTCTCACGAGCTTAAACTTATTAACAAAACTTTTCAAACTCTCTTTGCGCGAACAAACAAAACTCTTCAATCATAATTGAAAGTTCATATTTGCACAAGTGACACTTGCTCTCCCCATTGTAAAATCGATGTTAAAAGCGGACTTTGTTTTTTTTTTTTTTTTTTTTTTTTTTTTTTTTTTTTTTTTTTTACAAATCTCAAAACTTTCTCTCAGAGATATAATCGTCGTGTATTAATCAAAATATCAGCACGTTGAGTGCATAAGTAACGTTTATAGTCGCTGAGAGAGTTTTCGAATTCGTGAATTCGCGAAGTTTGCAACGCGGTAAAGCGCGAAAGAAACACACACAGAGAGGACACGCAGAGAAAAGCTCGCGCGGGATCGCGCGCCGCAACTCGCGGAGAAAACAGGCAGGCAAAACGCGCGCGCGGCTTCAGAGGAGGGGGAGGGAGGAAGGGGTAATAACTTAATTTAAACTAAACTACAGTTTAATAATTCTCTTGGCCGGGTCGGCCGTGGAAGATGCGCCGGCAACCGGCAATTTCAGAGCCGCCGTTAACTGCCGGTCGTTAGTCCCTTTTCAAAACTCCTTTCTTTCTTTCTCTTCCATATCCCTGTGCACTTCTCCCGCGCCGCCTGTTCCCCACCTTCCCCGCGCGCTTCGAACCCTCGCGCGGCTACCAACGCTCGGTCACGAGCTAATTTTCGAGCGTGGCTTGCGTGTCATGAATATTGCCACGGGCCCCCCTCAGAAATACTCGCGCGGCGCAGCGCGGCGCGACCGACAAATTGAATCGTCCTCGTCTCTCTCGACCGCCGGCCACCTTGCCGAAATACCGAAGCTACACGGTCTGCACCGACATATCGATCA